ATTATTTTTGTCTACGCGAATTAAATTAGTAGGAACATCCATAGATACAAAATGCATGACGGTATCCTTTTTGAAAACGGGTTCGTCAATATTGTCTACAGACAAAGGTAATGAAAACTCATTCAAAACATTATAGTGAACAACATCTTGAAGTTTCTTTTTAATTTTTGAATAAAAATAAGTATTACAATCGTATAAATTAGGATTTAAAATATCGTCATAGGTTAAATTGTTCATTTTTTTTTTGTTTTTTTTTTCTTTTTATTCTCTCTCTTTCTTTGATTTATCTTTTATTTCTTGCAAAGGTTTTAAATATTTCAAAAACGTTGAACGGTAAGCGTCAAAATTTTTATAGTAAATGTCTTTATCATCTTCGTCAATGGGTGACAAATCTTCTCGTTTTACTTTGTACGTCGTTTTGAGATCTCCCACTACTCCAACTTTATGTATTTGAACGGTTACATAACCTTGAGTTGTCGGGTTATCGCGATCAGTCACTTTCATGATGATGACTCTTCTGGTTGTATCCCAATAAGGTCAATTTCGAGTAGACGATTTGCTAAACGTGTCTGCCGCATCTTTTTTATATTTGCGCAAATAACATTCTGTTCCTACGGACAACGGTTTTAAAACGGGCCATTTTTTGTTTTTGTATTCTTTTTTTACGCGATAAAGAAGGTTAGAGGTAAAATCGCGTTTTCTTCTTTGCGTGTTTTTGTACTGATCAATCAAACGAGACGCTTTAGCCGTTGCATCGTTTCCGTCTAATTCTTCGGGCGAAAATCCGCTTATCGTTTTTTCTTTTTCGTTTAATCTTTGTTCAATTTGATCGAGATACGTGCTCCAATTTTTTTTTTTTTTCAATTGGTCTTGTCGTTGCAATTTTTAAACTAAAAGTTTGAGACGCGCAATAGCTGATTCAGCCAAGTAAGCTTTTCCGTAATTCTTAGAACAAAAATGATAAATGTTTTGATCTTCAAACCAGTCGTGAAGTAGGTGATTAAAAAATTCTCCTCCTTCGTCTGTTTGTAAATAAATGTAACTTTGTTTTGATTTTCTTTTAATGTTTGTAAATATTTCTTTGAAGGGTTCTGCTGCTGAGGATATAGGAGCAGGTTCTACGCTTTCTGTGTCCGCAGACGTTTCTTCGCTAGTAAGAGTCTCTTCGGGTTTTGATGAAAGAGGTGGTAAAGAAACGGGTGTACCAATCGAATATCTCGTTTCAGCTGGTTTAGGCGTCGAAGCGGATATTGGTGTAGAAGTAGAAGACAAGCTAGATTTTTCCCATTTGATTTTAACTGCTTTGGGATAAACGTGTAAACTTTTACCCTTTCCGAGCACTGTCAAATTTTGTAACAATTTCGCAAAGTGTTGAATTTGTTTAATGCCGCTGGTGAGCTCAAAACATTTGCGATAATTTGAAAAAAAAGGGGCAATTTACTAAGTTGAGACGAATGTAAACATCCCATTATCATTAACATTTCAATGATTGCTTTTTGTTTTGTCGGATCGTCCTCGTTATAAAATTGGTTGGCGTTGCTTTTAATGTCGTTAAAAAAATCATAATTGTCTGATTTGTAACAAAGTTCCATTACGTTATAGGATAAAGTCGTAGCATATTCAAAAGTTCTAAAAGGTAGAGAAGGTTTAAAAGAAAATAAAGTTGTAAAAGTAAGATAGAGCATGGTTTCTCCAATGGGTCTACTGCCTATAACGTTCATGTCATAATCGTTGATCATTAAATTATAAATGTTCTTGTCTAACAATATGGAATTGTTTTTATGAATATATTTTTTCAAAAATTCATGTTTGTAGCCTTTAAACATTTGACCGTATTGAATAGCCTATTTTGTGGTTATTTTTTCAGTTTCACTCAAAAGTTCGAAATCTCATTGACCTGAAAAACTTTTATCAGTCAAACTTTCGCTTTCAAAAAATGAACTAGTCAAAAAAGAATAAGGATGGCTTTTGAACGCGGTATCGTATTTTTTTTCCTCGGTCAGTTTACTTTCGTCTCTAAAAAGAATATTGTATTTTTGTATGTATTTCCACAATTTAGCAAAAGTTAAATGTTTTATTTGATAAAAATCGGCAATCATCCTTTTGCTGGATACGCTGTATGGTGAAACAAGCAAATTAAAAAATTCGTTAGCCACATAAGCGTATTGCTGCGGATCGCGAATGACTTGATATTCTGTTTTAGAAATGTTGTTGACAATGTCTGCTAACGATTCTTCTACGTCTACAATGTTTTCATTGTAAACGAGATAAATTTTTAAGTCTGTCAAAGTAGGTTTTTCTGTGACGGGTTTGTAAACGCACAACAGGATTTTTTTGCTACCGTTTTGCCAATTGATTTGCTGTTTACACATATCTAATAAAGAATGCGATAAATTTGTAAATTTTTATAAGTCTGCGTTGGTATAAATTAGTCTAGTGACTTCGGCCTCATTGTGTACTTCGAAACGCAATAAGAATTGAGTAATGGGTATTAAAGAATAGACTTTTTTGCCTAGCATGACAATGTCGTTTAACGAGGGATAAGCGTCTACGCTAGCTTGAACGCTGGAAACCGTGCTACCTGGATTAAGAGATGAAGCTGATGAATTTTCTAGTCGAGGAGTATATTTTCTCAAATTTCTCATTTGTCTTAACGTTTCGCTGATGTCGCGTTGATCTACTTGATCGTTAAATTGTTGCTGTGCGTTAAGACCTATTATTTTTGTAAAAGCGTATGCGTCTCCGTCCACATTCAAGTACGTTTTCCATTTTCCATAAACAAAGTCTGAAATTGTTTTATTTTTTTCTTTCATTTTTTCTTTTTTAAAAATCATTTTTCGTTAAAATGAGGATAGGGATACAAATATTCTTTAAGTTTAATTTCTAAACAAACGTATTCTTTGAACGCGTGTTTAATTTGCATTCGTTCGTGATCGGACAAAAGTTCGCATTTTAACATTTTTATAGCATTGAATCGCGTTAATATTTCTTTGACCCATATTTTGATTTCGTTGACGTCCATTTCTTTTTTTCTGTTCATTTTGGGTATAAAAATTTGAGAACGAACTGATAACTTTTTTCGCATGTCCGTTCTTTGTTTTTTAAATTTGTTCTTTTTAATTATAATTCTTTTAAGATTTTTTTGTTTTCTTTTTTTTTCTCAACATTCTCATCAACGCAACAAACTTCATCGTAGTCGCGATTCAATAATTCCAACAAATCGTCTCTGTTCCAATCAAAATCAGTCAGAACAGGATTCGTCGTTAGATTCGCTAGATTCTCCGGATTCGCTAGAGGTATCCATTCCGTAACGTTTTCTTCGTTTGAGTTCATGGAGTAGAAGCGCTGCTCTATCGCTTTTGTTCAATTTTCTTTTTTTATTTTTACCTTAACCTTCTTCTTTATTTATAACTTTTTTCTCCTCGTCTTGTTGTTGTTGGTTTTCTAAATTTTCGGACTCCTTCTCTTCTCTTTTTTCTTGATTATGATGAGATTTTAAATAGTAATAATTTTTAAAATTTTTAGCCTTAACATACGGAAACGATTGAAAACTAACAATTTTTTATGCACGCTCATAGTTTTGTAATCAAAATCCAATTCTCCTTGAGCGTCTACCGGTATAAACACTTTTTGCTCTTTGTAATTGACTTGCGTGCGCAAACGCGCTACCGAACTGTTTTTTTTAAACAAAGCTAAATGTCCATGTTTTGAAGATGTTTCTTTGCTCAATAAATCGCTTATTGCATGATACATTTTGTCAGACGTGGGAAAATTGTTTTTAAACATTTTTTCAATTTCACAATTGTTATCGAAAGCAATAATGCATTTACAATGTGATACCAAATTGTTCCACGCTTGTGTGGATTTGTTAGGTATCGTGTGAAAAACTGTCAAGGTACCTACGCCGTGATGAGATCCGCTTGCGCATACGCTTGTATATTGTCCGCTTTTTAAACAAATAGAACTGATGTCGTCGAAAAGGATCATGGTTTTGAAAAAACACTAATCGCTATTTTGTATTCCATATTTCCCAGCCTGCAAATAACGTTGAGATAACGTTGAAATATCGTTGAAACCTAACGTTGAATTAACGTTGGTTTAACGTTTAGAATGAAAGTTTTTTTCAACGTTGATTTATCAACGTTAAATCAACGTTAGGTTCAAACGTTATATCAACGTTGAATCGACGCGAAAAAACGTTACAATAACATTGAATTAACGTTGATTTAACGTTTAGAATGAAAGTTTTTTTCAACGTTGATTTATCAACGTTAAATCAACGTTAGGTTTAAACGTTATATCAACGTTGATTCGACGCGAAAAAACGTTACAACAACGTTGAATTTACGTTGATACAACGTTAAAAATGATAGTGTTTAACGTTGATTTATCAACGTCAAACGACTGTAAAACACTTTTTCACCATCAAAACGTGCTATGTATGTCAAAATGTATATATGTATGTAAACGTGCTATGTGCGTCAAAATATGATCACCATCAAAACGTACTACGCATGTACATTAGTGTTGCTGTTTATTATCAAGGTATATTATGAATATTAAATCTATTCATAGTCTATACTTAGACTATTTAGAACTTTTTCAGATTAGTTTAGTTAAAAAAGCTAGGTATGATTAAAGAAAGAGATAAAACTTGTTTTATTTAAATTACATATTCAAATATTACATATATTTACATGTAATTGAATAAAATCTGCACAAATTTCTTCTCTTTTCCACCACCTTTTTGAAATAAAGCGAAATTTAGAAACTCAAACAATGTTCCATTAACCGAGGGTTTTTTTGGTCCATTGAATACAATAGAAGAAGCTGTAAATAAAAAAAATATATTAAAAAAATCAAAAAGGGAAGATTTAAAATAAATAATGAATGGAAAAGTGTTACATCTTATGAAGGCACATCTTTTTCAACGCCATATAGATTAGTGTTCTTAAAACATATTTTTCCACCTTTGCCCTTCATATCCAAAGAGACGATATAACTTTTCGAAAATACTCTGAATTTTAAAAAAATAATGTAACTGTTAGTTGGTTATTAATAACTTTTTCAAATATTTAATTTAATTAAAACAACCTTTTTAATATATTAAAAATAAATTGGTAGTCAAAATATAAAACATTTCTAGCATTTAAAAATAATTTTCGGGGTGGCCACATAAAATTTTTATAAGAAATTTTATGTGGCCATTTATTAATGGTTTAACGTCCATGTTTATACACTTATGGGGCTGGGACAGGGATCAAATAATGCATTTATTATGTTAAATGACATGCATTTTCTAAAGCAATTTTTTACATTTCATGCACTTTAAGGCGTTAAGCAGTTTTGCAGACCGAGAATGGGTATTTTGAACATAATACTTCCATCAAAAATTAAAAAAGGAAGAACTAATGAGGAACTTTGATCAAATTTTTACCTCTTTAGAGGATAATAGAGGATTTTAGAAGTGGTTTTAAAATAAAGAGGACTTTAGAGGGTTTTAGAGGAGCTGCAGACACCCTGATTATAAATGAGGTAAGAGTCCAATACTGTTTTTGATGACCCCAGCATAATTTTGTGTATTCTATCTTTAGAAGACGTTCCACTAATTAACTAATTAATTTATCTGTAATTGATTTATCTGTAAAAAACTTGAAGTAAATCTAATATTATGCTTGTGGAGATATATTATATTGTGGAGAACCATCCAAACCACACAAATGGAAAATTTGCATCCAAGTTTCCACTTGTGTGGAAATCTTGCACCCACTTGTCAACATTCTTATTATCACATTTTTCTTTTGCAGTTGTGAATTTAAAATTTTCACAATACTGTTTGCTTTCTTTTAGAATTGAAATAGTTATACAAATAGTTATATATTTTGTATCAACAAAATAACTTTTTTTACCACATTATTTAAAAAATAAAAATTGTAATATATAGATGTAATACCTGAAGAGAACTTAGTTTTTATTTGTATAAACTTAAGCCAATTCTTCTCTGCATTTTAGTGCAGTCAATGCTTTGGTAACTGGAAGCCGACAAACAATTTTATCACTAATTCAATTAGATGGAATTACTTCTTCTTGTAAATCTTCATTCCAAACAGCTCCTTTCCGCATATTCGATTTTGAAAAAATTACATGAACTAATATAAAATGAAGAAACTGTATTATAAGTGTACTAACAGGCCTAATTAAACTAGCTAAATTTGAACATTTTATAACCATGATACTTGCTAAACAATAATATTAGTAGACATTATAAGCAAAGATAAGATTTTCTTTTTTTTATAAATTTATAATATTTTAAACTCATTTTTATTAATTTATTTATTACTCTATTATTCAGCAGAGTTCTGAATATATTATGTTTAAATAACTTAAGGCTCAATAACAAAGACGAATAATGAAAGAATACTAGGTTGCTAAAACATAAACATCTACATAAGATAATTATGGAATATTGAAAAAAAATAGAAATACAAAAAAACAAAAATACTCATTTTTAATATAAAATATAATAGTATAAATTAAGGTATATTATAATATATGACACAATAATATCGACTTTTAATTAAAATATAAAAACAACAAAAATTAAAAAAGAAAATATTTTGATAAATAATAAATTATCATTCAAACAATTTTCAAGATCAAAAAATAACTTGTAACTTATTTTTTTACTTATCTTTATCTAATAAACATTACTTATTTTTCACTCATTTTCATCTAATAAACATTAATATTAATACCAATTTTAAACATTATTGGAATTTTTGTTTTCAAAAAATAAAAATATTACATCAGTTACTTTTTGGGCTTTTCTTATTTTACTTAAAACATCAACTCAATTCTAGACTTTTTTCATAATTGAGTTTTAATTTGTAATGTCGAATTAAACCTGAAAAAAAAATATTAGCAGACAAATAGAAATTATTTCTTTATTGAAATATATGTAAATATTTCAATAAAGAAATTTTAGATTGATTTTTATAAATATAAATTTATATCAATCAATCTAAATTTTTTTCTTTTCCGCCATCTTTTCAAAATGAAGCACATTTTTAGAAGTTAGACAAAATGCCATCAATTAAAGTTTCAGTCGTTTCATCGTATTTAATAGAAGAAGTTGTTAATAAAAAAGAATTAGAAAAAAAAAAAAAAAAAACACAAGGAGAAATTTTTGAATATATAAAAAATGAGAAAAAAAAAGTTTTTCATATCTTATAAAGGTATACCTTTCACTACACCATATAAATTAGTGCTCTTAAAGCATATTTTCACCTTCCCCCTTCATATTTATGGAGATCACAAAATTGTTGGAAAATATTCTAAATTTTAATAGATAAGAGAACTGATATTAATTGTGCGAGAACTAATATTAATTTTTTTTTTAATTTAAATTGAACTCATTATCAAACAATTTTTTTGCTAAATAATTTAATCCTTAAAATTCCTGAATAATTAAAAATTATTATAATTACCTCAGCATTTTAAAGATATTCCATCAATTGCAATTGATTCACCTAAAAAACAACAACAAGTAAAGCAAATATTATTGTTTGAAATTTTAATTATCTTTATACAAATAGTCATCATATTTTTAAAGTGACTGATAAAAATGGATTCAATTAAAATCACTTCATTTGTATTAAAAAATTATTATTAAAGCCTTAATCATACATTATACAAGAGTATTTTGTAATACAATCTAAATAGTTGTTGCGATATGTAATTTTTTTTATCCAAAATTTAGCTTCTGTAAGCTTTAGAAATTTTTTAAAGAAATTATTGATGAATTTGGAGCTACGGGTACTAATGTTTTTATATTGCTGTAATGTTTGTATTCATTCCCTGTTAGTTTCTGTAAGTCAAAATTTTAAGGTAATGCCATAATAAATTCTGTTATATCTAAAATTTAGTGTTAGTCTGAATAATTTACTTTCTAAAATCTGTTTTGCATTGCCTGTCTTATAACATCTTTACTTGGAAAAAAACCACGTGGTTTAAAAGTAAGCTAGAAGCTTTCAACAATGAAGAAAATATTGCATTCGCTAATCCTAAAAATATATTAAACCTGTCAGCAAAATCAGCATCATTAAAAGTTCATCTTTGCTGCATTATATTTATTTTGGTCCAAGTAGTTAAGGATTTTTTTAAATTTCAAAAAACAGAAGTAAATGTTTTATTAATATCACTTTATCTCTTTTGATTAATGGTGATACTGCACTAACTGATGAAACACATTGACAGATGTAAGGCCAGTATAAAAGTCGCAAGATCTATTATTTTTAAAATAAATGTTTGTATACAAGTAAACTGCAATAACACGATTTGTTTGGATTATGTTTATATACAAATTTGTCTGTTTTCATAGTAATAACTGATGTGGTTGAAGTTAATTTTTCAAATAAATCTTTATTTTTTTATTTCGTGCTGAAGTTCTTTTTTAAAGTTATCAATTTCCTTTTTTAATTCTTGATGCTCTATTAAAAAACAACGCTTACCATTAAATTCAACATAATTTAATGGGTCATTTTTTGAAAAAGCTGTATTACATTTACATTTAATAATATCAGTCTTTGAGCATTGTAGCCCAAGTTAAACGGAAAATATCGATTTTTAAACGATAATGTTTTTTTAGGAAAATCGACTGAACATGTTTTCGATCTCTTGAAAATTCTATATGATATAAGTTCAGTATTTACATTTTTTTTCCATTATAAATCTCTATAACTTTAATCGTTGAAATAATGTTTACGATTTTACTTCCATTTCTGCGCGCGCATAAATTTTGTATCGTATTTTTTTGAAATAATGACGTTAAAATAACGTTAAATAATCAACGCTTAAACTGTAACGTTGATTTAACGTTGAAATAACGTTGAATAATCAACGTTTAAACGGTAACGTTGATTTAACGTTGTGACCTAGTTGAACAACGTTGAATCAACGCTTCAACCGAATTTCAACGTTGAAACAACGTAATAATGCCGGCTGGGTTGTCTTTTGAAAAACTAACTACGCGTTGAATGTTACCATCCAAATTTTCTGCACTGGCTACAGTTAATACTTGAAAATCTTCCAAATTATTTTTAGAAAAATTAATAACTTCTTGCCACGTTTTAATTTGTGCACCGCTAGGTTCTCTCATTTGAATAATAAATAACATTTCTGAATCAGGATATTTACCGCTTTGCAAAAGTTGTCGCGCCATAGTAGATTTCCCACTATTTGTAGGACCCGTTATTAAAGTATTTTCAGGATAAATATCTTTTGCTGGTTTAAATATGTTATATTTATTTTGAAAAGGAAATCGATCATCTTTTATGTCTAATGTATCTATTTTACCTTTTAAGTAAAAACTGTTAAAACCTTTTTCATTTAATTTTTTAGTCAACGTTCTAGAATCTGCTATTTTAATATTATCACGTATTTCATTTTTTTCATTTTTCAATTTATCTTGATTTGATTGTTGCTTGTCTTCCATTTTTTTTGTTAAAAAAATACAAATTTCTTCAATATTTTTTTTTTTTCATATATATTTTAATTACATATTGTTTTTCATCAAAAAAAAAATAACATTATAATATTACTCAATATTAAACAGCAATTGTTTTTGTTTATAAAAAAAAAATGTATAAAAAATTACACATTTTTTTTTAAATCGTTACATTAAATCAGAATGTAATTTAAAAGTAAATTTGGAGGTCAGTTCTTAATCAATAATGTAAAAAAAAAAAGTTAATAGATCAGTTTGTAAAGTCATTATTTTATAAGCTAAAAAGTAAACATTGTAAATCGAAATTGACAAAAGTAAAGAAAAAATTGGTAGCTTTTTTAGCAAAGATTACGGATTTTAAAAATAATTCTTATTTTATTATTGCTATTCATCTTATTTTATTATTGCTAGATTTTAAAAATTTTCATTACTATTCAACAAGAAAGTGTTTGTAAAAAAAGCAAACAGTTATGACAATTCAAATTAATTAGAATGAAATAATTACAGTGGATAATAAATTAAAAGATAAATTGGAGTATACTTATTTGGAATGAAAAAGTCCATCATTTAACGAATAATATTGAACAAAAAAAACAACTAGAGAATGAATTTTTTAGATTGTTTACCTGATTCCTACAGCAAAATAAAAAAAAAAAATTTTTTTTTTAAATAGTTACATACTTAAAAATAACTTTTTTATTGTATTATTATTTTTTTTAAATAAAAGTGGTATAAATTGAAAATGTTTAATTCATTTTATATTAAATTTTTTTTTAATTTTTTTATAGATAAAAAATATATTTATTTTCAACTCTAACAGATGATTTATAAAAAAAAGTTTTTCGACTGAAATAGAAAATGTGATAAAATATGAAAAAGTAAAGAGCTACACAATTGAATATGGTGGAAAACTTCAATTCACATTTAAGCATGAAAAAACTTAAAAATCAATTAAATTGAAAGGATGGAAACCAAAAGATAAGATTGAAGTGAAGTGTTTTTTTTTGTTTATTTTTTAATGCATTATTTTTGTTTAATCAATCAGTTATTGAGAAAAAATATTCAATAATAAAAACATTAAAAGTCAAGAAAACGAATGGCATTTAAATATAATATATATTTTTTAATATTATAAAAAATAAGATGGAATCACAGAACAAACCATTACAACAGATTATAAAATTGTTTTTCAGTAAGCACTATTAAAAATAAATACATTTTTAATTTTATTGAAATTTTATTATTTATTGAAATTTATTTGTTTATATTGTTATATTATATTATTTATTTATTTATAATTTTATTGAAACTTTATTATTTATTAAAATTTTTTTTCATTCTAATAAATTTGAATTATTGAGTAAAAAAAAATGATTGTTATGAGAATATTGAGGTAAAAAAAAATTTTTTAATCCTCTTTTTTTATATACCAAAAGCATAAAATATATATATATATATATATATATATATATATATATATATATATATATATATATATATATATATATATATATATATATATAAGATAATAAGGAATATGAAAAAAAAGCTGATATATGGTCATATATTGCAATTTTCAAGAGAAGAAAATAATACGATTAATAAAACGATTGTCAATTAAAAAAAAATAAAAGACTTATTGCACAGTTTAGTTTTAATCATTTTTTTTATATACCAAATAAATATGGAAAAACAGCTGATATATGGTCATATATCGCGATTTTTAAGAGAAGCAATTTATAAAGCGATTGTCAATTATAAAAAATGAAGATAAAAAAGATGAAAAAAATGAAGTAAAAAAAAATGATTTTAAAAAAATTTATTTTTTAATATTATTGTTAGATTAAGAAATATAATGATATTTGAGAACGGTTTATAGTACGATCGTTTTTTCAACGGATTTTAATATGGATTAATATAGGTTTTTTGTTTTAGAACTTTTTTCCTTTCTTTTCAATTCTGGAGAATGTAATTTTGAGAAAAATCGTCTAAAAAAACAACATTAATGAAATTTCAGAAGCGCAAGAGAGATGTTTAGATCTGGAAAAAAATCAAAGTTGTTTAAAAGAAAATTGCTATGTAGTATGACAATGGATTTAACACTAGAAAACTTTTTATTTTTATAATTTTTTTTTTATTTATTTTGTTATTTTTTTAGTTTTTTTATTTATAAAAAATAGGTTACCTTTATTTTGTTTTTTTTTTAATTTGTGTTTAATTTTTGTTTAAAATCATAGAGTAAAGTTATCAATACATTTTTGTTACATGCTACCATGGTTTTGTATCGTAAGATTCGTTAATTTTTTTTTTCAATTGTCAACAAAGTTTGCAAATGTTCGTCACAACAAAACTTTTCAATGTCTGGTAATACTTTTAAATTAGCTTCTACAATAGGTTTTAAACGAAAATGATCTCGTATTTCTGTCAAGACGTTATCATCAAATACATAATTTTTTGCGTAAACTTTTCTAAAAAACGCAATTCGTGTTTGTTGATAGTGACTTTATCAAAATTTAATTTCATTCTATTTTGAGTAACGGGATGTATAGTGCTATCCAATTGATTGTCCAAATTTCGAAATATTTTTTCAGCTCTATAGGTTGTTAAACCGTCAATGTAATTTTCAAAACGTAATTTATAATTAGGTACACCTTTTGCTCAAATTTTTTCTTTTTTTTTCATTTTTTTCATTAACGCTATCCACACTGTAACATTTGGCGCCCATGGCTATAATTTGCGATATATATCTAGGTGGTGGAATTTCGTTCTGAAAATGATCAGTCTTTTTGGCAAAATTTTTTGAAAAAAAAGGATGATTAGGTTTATAGTTTGAATAATCTAACCATTTTTCAAAACTAGAATAAAATAGCCAATTGTCTACTTGAACTCAAAAAGGACACTTTTTCTTTTTTTCTTTTTTTCTGACAATAAAATTGCAACATGAATCAGTGTCTGTGGCTACTAAAAATTTTTCAGCTCCTCGTTTACGTAAAATTT